ATTTATGGATTGAAGAGTAAATGGTGTGCTCAAATGATCGATTAAAACGCAGAGTAATGACTCTTTATAGAATATTTATGGATTGAAGAGTAAATGGTGGGTGAAAATGGAGCTTTTCAATATATTCAGCATATTTTCCCAAATTTTATATTTAGATATGATAATTAATGATCTATATCATTCTAGCCCGCCGGTGGCTCAGCGGTAAGCTTCAGAGCTAATACAGCTAGAAATTGGAGATCAATCCATGTGGTGGACACAGCGCAGGTAGCTCCCTCGTGTAGCTTCGACCTAAAATATAAACAAATAAATACTACTACTATAGTCTAAAAAGATAGCTTTTATATTTTCTTCCGCATAGTGATAAGACCAGACCATGAGCACTTCTTGAAAGGTCTAATCAACAGTATTTCAATGAAAAGAACTTTATGTTTTAAAACGTTTCAATATTTGAAGATGAAAAAGGAATAACATTTTAATAGATGATAGAACTTAAAATAATGTATTGTAGGTTTATAATTGTTTTGTTTAATAACGTTTTATCTAATGGGTGTTATAAAAAGAGTGTACATTTACCAACTACAATATATATATTACGTCATCTCACTTTCTGAAACAATATTTCAAAATATATGGTTGTGATCATTGAACGTTTATTTCAAGGTCTGTAAACATTATTTGGAGACATTGAAATGAAATAAAGTAATTCGTGAAAAATTCAACTAGGGTATTGATCTTAGGCCTAAAATACATGAAACTGTACTTTTCTGGTGTCCTTTCACTTCTTTTGGTAAACAACCACATTGAATGTTTGGATAATAACCTATTCAGCGATAAGAATATGGTCGTGTAAAAAGTATGGTATGTAATGTATAATAATAAATATTAGAACGAAGTAGACCACGGTATCTAGAAATGCTGCTTTCAAAGCAGATAGAATATCTGAAGTGAAAATAAAAAGTTATAATACTCATTATATGAGCTTCTTGTTAAGTTTTTCATATTCTCACCGGTGTAGTTCACATTCTTGCTCCAGAACGTCATTTCCTTTAAACTGTAAAGACCGGTTCTCTGATCATATATGTGACATTGGTCAAATGGAGGATAGTACAGATGCAAGCTGACTGCTGGTTCAGAATGGCTCCTGTTTTTCATAAGGTGAAGACCGAGTGAATCTAAAAGATCACAGTTCAGGTTAGTATTGTGCTTTGCTATTTCTTATATAACTTTTTGAAACTGCGAGTTATTTAGCTTATAAAGGATAAGATAAAGGAAAAAGTTAGTTAGTATTTTTTTCAAAACATTGATTAACTTTCCTTGGAATAAATACTCCCTATATAAACATTACTTGAATAGGTCCACTTCGGAAACATAATTACACTTGTACAACTACTTTTTCTACACTAGTCCTTTAGTGTTATAGAAGATGTAAATGTAAGTTTCTCATAATCTCAAAAAAAGTATAATTTATTTTATTAACACAAAAAAAGAAAGAATTACCAAATAAACAATTGACTCATTCTTTCTTCAAACAATAATTCATATTTAAAATAATTTTTTAAATGAAATCCACCATCTCGTTTATTTTTCTTCATTGGAATATTTATAGAATTATCAGTGTAAACGTAAACACAATGAGGAAACCGACGTTACATGAAATGCAACCATTCATGGAATATTTATAGAATTATCAGTGTAAACGTAAACACAATGAGGAAACCGACGTTACATGAAATGCAACCATTCATGGAATATTTATAGAATTATCGGTGTAAACGTAAACGCAATGAGGTAAATCGACGTTACATGAAATGCAACCACTCAGAAGAGTTCTGGTTTGAGTACTAAAAATATTCAAGTTTAGAAATGAGTTTTTTTTTAAATCGCAACAAAGATCTTTAATATTTTTTGCAATATATATTTAGATATTGTAAAATATAAAAACTAAGCGTCATGTTCACCAAATAATTCTCTCATGAATTCCACGTGACAGGGAGACATACAAAGCTTTAATAGGCAAAATGTAGATACATATAAGTAACTGTGTAGAAAGATACTAGGTACATATAAAATATTCAGACGTGTGTGTGGTATTCACTATGATTAATTTTACGTTGTCCATCTTACTGTAAACATGATCCATTATGTGTATGTTACTCTCATCTGTATAAAATAGAATGCATGCATATATATAAATATATGGATATTTGGTTCAAATTCGTCGTGGTTTAATTTCCGTTATAATATTTCAATACAAAGCCTGTGATTTAAGATTTTTAACACAAATACTGGGGGAGAACATAATGGGAGAACCAATATTCGATGTCTTCTATGCTCGCGGCTCAATTATATGGCGATAAGTACTTTTACCTGGAAGTTGCTCTTTGTGTAATGTGGGATTGTTACCATGCAGGATGACATAAGCAGTCTAAAGTCGACTTTTCTTCTTTTTTGAGCCTCGTATTTAGATGAAAGAGCATGATCCTTAGTTTAGTAAATAATGTGTTTAGTTATATGTGAGAAACGTTCTATACAAGTTTATGCTGTCATGAAAACATAAAACCAGCCAGTGTGTTGTTTCTTTGTTGTAAACCTACTGTATCGTTAAGATTTTATTCAACTGTGTTTAAAAGGTTGACTTATCTCAAGTTTCCATCAGTATTAGTTCTGACTTATTGCTGGGAAAACTCGCCCCCCCCCAGTGGCACAGCGGGATGTCTGCGGACTTACAACGCTAGAAACCGGTTTTCGATACCCGTGGTGGGCAAAGCACAGATAGTCCATTGTGTAGCTTTGGGCTAAACTTCAAACAAACAAACTGGGAAAACTCTTACTTCACCAGCTACAATCACCTGTTTCTATAGTGCATCTCCAGCTAGCACCAACATTTCTTTGTTTATTAACAGTAAAGTAAGGTGAAATGTTTCACACAAAACGTATCGACACAAAATCATTCATCCACTCAGTTTTGTGTTCATTACCTGTGTACTGAGAGTTTAATTACTTACTAGCACAGTTATAGATTATAAATAATAATTTTGATGCAAATAAATTAGGTGAAAGCTAATTATTGCTTCTTGTTCACTTTGATTAATTTGTCTTTCATATGGACTTTTACAGGCAAACACCAAAATAGAAAGTGAAGCATGCACAGGTAGGCAGCTTGGGACAGATAAGGTGAACCAAACTTACTGGATTATAATAAACTCAGACCGTCTGATATATATACTGCAAGTACTCCTTTTGCTGTTTACAAAGAATTTATTGTGGAAGAGCCAATACCTGAGCAGCATCGTCCTCCCAAATATTGCTGGAAATTAAAATATACATAAAGCTAAGACATCTGTCAATCTACAAACTTGAGAGGCTGAGACAGTTATGTGTCCTGCAGCTTTCATGGCTATGAGATCAGAAGCTGAAATGATGTGGAAATCCTTGTATCTAAGTTGTCTAGAGGAAATAGTTCTTAGTTTGTGGCTCGCAGGAGACTTTTAGTTGCTTTCACAACTAAGGCACACTAAGAGTACTCAATTAAGTTGATGTGCCTAAGCAATGCGGAAGTGACCTTTAGGTTTTATGACCACAATGATGTTTAGCTAACTATAAGTTTGACAGACAAAACTACTAGGCTACCCATGAACAGGATTATTCGTCAAATGACATAACACAGTGATGTTTAGCTAACTTCAAGTCTGACAGACAAAACTACTCATGAACAGGATGCTTCGTCAAATGACATAACACAGTGATGTTTCGCTAACTTCAAGTCTGACAGACTAGTGTCCTATTCATGTATAGGATGCTTCGTCATATGACATAACACAGTGATGTTTAGCTAACTTCAAGTCTGACAGACAAAACTACTTATGAACAGGATGCTTAGTCAAATGATATAATTGCTCTGATGTCTGTGAATTTACTTACTGACAACAATAAATTGGGGGACCCTGGAAAGTCTTTAAAGACTTCCAACATGATGGATATAAAACAGTATATAAAATTAAAAAGCTAAAACTTCCAACTGGAAGTACAATTTAGGCAATAATAGCAATGATAAACGAGCTTCAAGGTGTCAAAAGTTAAAGTTGGTATAGCAGACAAGAAAGTTTCACAGTAACATTTTACTAGCAACATTTAAATAGGTCCTCAGTTTTGGCAGTAACATTTTACTAGCAACATTTAGATAGGTCCTCAGTTTTGGCAGTAACATTTTACTAGCAGCATTTAAATACGTTCACAGTTTTGGCGCGTCGCGTTGGTTATATTTATAGGCGTGTGGAGAGTTTCTCGAAAATTCAGATTACGTAACGATACAAAGCTACATTAGCGTTTACGTACACACATATACTGTTGATTCTTACACTCGAGAATCTTCTACAACTTTAGAGAATAGGTGGGAGTTTCGCAACACATATTTAACAGTATATGGTACGTACATTTCTAAATATAAATTTAATTTAAACAAACATCGATATTAAAATGAATATGGTATAATACATCAGTCACAGCACTAGCACTAGTATATACTACGGGGGCACTTTGCTTTACTTTACACAGAGCATCACCTCTTATTTTCATATTGCCATACAATTTATCATCGTACAATTATGAAATATAGTTTAAATATCCCATATTACTCTCCACATTTTACCTAAGTTGTTTGGTCACCTTTTGACCTTCACAAGTTTTACACAAGCCTACACAGCCTCAAGAATATTCACATTGTTTATGAGTGTACCATCGGTCTCTTGACCAACAAGATATTGTTTTATTATATTTTCTGTATGTTTTTTGTTTGCTTTTTTTTGCTGGGAGATGAGTCATCGCCTAGTGTGTCGAATTTCTGTGGGAGATGAGGATAGGTCAAAATCTGTGTGTGCATCAGTGTTATATTGTATATCACTGATACAATTAGTTGAGACTCAGCCACAACTTGTACTGATCTCCCATCATGCTTCCAAGTTATACACTGACTGTGATACCATTCTCCTCCCTGTCGTCAAACAAACTGCCATTGATTGTGTCTGAACAATTTCAATTTTAATTTTTCTATAAAAAGCACGTGCCTTCAGCTTTGTCCATTCCACTATTCGTGATCTAACGACCATTTCAACTTGTTGATTCATTCCACTGTTCGTGGTATAATGACCATTTTCAACTTCTTCATTCATTCCACTGTTCGTGGTCTAATGACCATTTCAACTTGTTGATTCATTCCACTGTTCATGGTCTAATGACCATTTCAACTTTTTTGATTTGGTTACTCTTCCCACTAACGGTTTTCAAGACTATTTGTGCTAACGTATATCTTAATATTCTCAAGGTAATATTGGCACGTATTTTTACAGCAAGATCATTGACAGAATCAGTACGCAACCATCGTCTTTATAAAGAACATACCCATTTATACTTAAGACCACTTTTGGAGAGTTTCGAGTTTTTACTTCAACCACTTCTATTAGTAGCAAAGCAATTTTCAGGTACCTTTTTCAAAGTATTGAATACTGTTCCTAGTGAAACATGGAGTTTTGTCACAATTTTTCACATGGTGAATTCTTGATAAGCCCAAACTTTGATTTTCACAAATTTGTCACGTGATTTTTTCAGTTATAGTAGCCACGACTGGATTCACACTACTACTTCTGGTATGAATATCAGTAATTTTATAGGTTTTGTACTTGTGTGGTACTTTGTGATTTGCCGAATGACAACCAGCATCTTGTAAGCTATCAACACAAGACTGTACACGATAAAAAGTAGTTTTCCCTAAGTATTTTCCCTGAGTATTTGCCTTTTATACCCTTTCTCCTCGTAAGTTGTATAATTATTTCCAATAGTGTGAGTCTGAAAGTAATGTTAATAACATTCATAATATAAAAGTTATGGAAAGACTTAAGTGAAAATACTACTGAGTTTAAAGTACAACAGTGAGCAATGAAGAGGGTTATGAAAAGAAAATTGCCTGTGTAATACACTGAAGATTCTACTGTGCTGTAGTTTACAGAGGTTTATCAATACAAAGTGCAAAGATTTTCTTGTGTGTTTATCTTCACTGCTATTGTTCTAATATAAATGATCAGACTATTACATCGTTTGTCATCATGAATCAGATTAGAAATACTTACTGCTAAAGTTATCTTAAAAGATAATAGTATTGTCATTATCATATCTACATGAACTCAAACATGCATTTTATTAATTTTCAGGTGTATTTTAAAATGTGTAAATAGTATGATAAATAATTTTGTGGGAAAAATACCAGTGGCTTGAAGAACTTATGTTAGTCTTAAAAATTAAATAACTTACCAATGAATATAAATATAAATAGTTAGTTAATAAATGTGAATGTTGTACATTTTGTTGTACATTTGTGAATTTATGGAATATAGATCGTGGGAGTAATTTTGACCTGATAGTTTTTATATAATGAAATTCTGTATAATTATAGTTTCATTTCATTGATGATTGTCCAGCTTAAGTAGAAGATTAATATGTTAATTAAGTGTATTTATGATTAGTTTTATCTTAGAAGAGTTAGATAAGCTTTTTTTCTTGTAACACCAAATATCAGGTTACAAATTGTCAACATGTAGATTAGTCATTGTGTCAAGGATAATATAGGATAACAATTATGCTAGACTATTGAATATTTCAGGTCAGATTGGTAAGTGTCTTAACTTTCCTTAGTCACCACAGGCTTAAAGTTTTAATAGCGTTCTTATATTAATGTAAATCTTAAAATACTATAATAAGATAAGGTAATAATTTCTACTGTATTCATTTACTGGTTTGTAATCATACTGCTATTGTTATGGTTATGTAATGTAAAACGCTGCTGAGAAAATGTGTATGATATTGAGCAGTTTGTATAATGGGATAATAAAATAGTAAGTGGTCCATTCACTGGGATTGTTGAAGTGGTAAGTGCGTTTCAATTATATATATTGAGGTATCATTTGTTTTAAATCATTGAAGTACAGTTGAATGTGACAGACTCATAATTTGGTAAATGTGATTGGGGCTGAAAATAGGTCTAAGACAAAAAGGCACTTGTGGTATTTAGTATCATAACCCCACCCTTCTATAATACAGATAAACCTATATATGAATATTTTCCCCAATTCTCCATGGTTTAATTTTCCTTATTATATATTTCAAATTTAGAATATAGTGGTTGAAGCAATATTTATTACGTTATATGCTAACTCTAACTACATACACATTCATCCAGAAGTTACTCTTCGTGTAGTGTGGAATCGTTGCCATACAGGATGACGTAAACAGAAGTTACTCCTCATCTAGTGTGGAATCGTTGCCATACAGGATGACTTAAACAGAAGTTACTCCTCATCTAGTGTGGAATCGTTGCCATAGAGGATGACGTAAACAGAATATTTGGATCTGACTTTCTGCTCTTTCATTTTTTTCTGTATCTAAAACTATACAGTTTTTCGTTTAACCGAGACTGTGTTTAGCTACTTCTAAGAAAAGTTGTTTACAAGTCTACGCTACTATGAGAACCAATAGCCAGGCAGTGTGACGTTTTTATATGCTTGGAAAAACTTTACTTGAACATTGTAATCATCGATTTCTGTTATACCATCTTCAAACTCAATCTACATCTTCTTCTTAAAATGAGGAATAAAGTGAAAGCCTATGGCAAACCAAGCGAGTATTATTACTTTTTAAACCTAACAGTAAACTTATCTACCTAAAATATTTGATCGCTTGGCTTGCGGACTGATCCCCTTGCTATTGAAAGTTTAGTTTCCCGTTGAATACCACATAGGCAGCCTTCAGATATACATATATGTATTTATATATTACGACAATTACCTAAACTTGAAAATTACTAGCATTGAGAGAGAGAAGTAGCTGGCTAAAAGAGAGATGAACAGATACATAATCATGAAAAGAAACAGTGACAAACACATTTATATTGATTCGAAAAAAAAACACATCTTTAAAATTTTGATGTAATATTTTCTCTCCTCGTAGATGTAAAAAGTAATTTTTATTAATGCAGCTAAAGAATTTCACGAAATATTTTTCGTTTTTTTTCTTATAAATTCTGTATGTATTTTAATGGCATTATAATGGTTAATATTTTAAAACAAGGCAAATATACGCAACTTACCTTTTTCGTGCTTTCTGTAAAAACATGATATCACATAAAATACCAGTCTAAGAAAAGTGATATCTAAAACGTTGTTTTATTTCGGAGAAGATACGTTTGTCAGCAAACTAAATGTAATATCTGAAACTTTGTTATATTTCGGTGAAGATGCGTTTGGTAACAAACTAAATGTAATATTTAAAATCTTGTTTTATTTCGGAGAAGATACGTTTGTTAGCAAACTAAATATGATATTTAAAACGCTGTTTTATTTCGGAGAAAATACATTTGGTAACAAACTAAATGAAGTTCAGAAATCATTTGGTTTATCTTACCGTTTATGTAAGTTACATCATTCACATGTAGTATGGTTTCTTTAAAGGGTATCATCTCGTGCTTTTCTGAAGACCAAATATAACGAAATTCTCTTAGCGCCCCAGAAAGTTGCTGTAAAATATAATAATATTTCAGGAACAAAGTATCATACGTTTATTTTTTATATATACATTTTGAATGCATATCTACGCCATTATCTTTCTTGGAAGATGAAATGTAATCTCGACAACAAACCTTTGAATCCTCTTTTACAGATAAATTAGTTTAGTTTCAAGTTTCGTGTACAAGAATATGCATCACACTACACGTGATTAATGTACGTTTTGGTCTTCAAAGAGGATGTACAAAATTTCATCAAATAGTATTAGCTGCACAGAAAATGTATTGACTCACTGTGACATTTCTGCGCTTACAAAATCTGTTCGCTAACATATGAGGGTCATTAAAACCTGTCAGTGCAAACAATGATTCATGTGACTTACCAACAAACTAGCTTGCCTTTGAGAAATTTTGCACGTTGTTCTACTGTGCTGACGTGACATTCACTACTTATCATTCAATGATGTAATGTTTCATTAAAAAAAAATGTTAGCATATGACTGGAGCAGCTTTCATTGGCAAAAATAATAAAATTAGTTACTTGAAAGTTAGGACATTTTTAAGCAGTTTCGGGTTGTACATAGCAGCCCGTCAGGTTGCGTTAAAGATAAAATAAACATGAGTTTAGAGTTTCATTTTTTACTACCAAATTCTAAACTCGTAGAACAAAAGAGATACGTGAATAAATATGATACAGTTAAGAACTTGAGAAAGGTCCAGGTGGCTGACCATTTAAGTGGAATGAAAAATGTCTTATTATTATGTTTGAGGCGTTTATAAATTCTTGAACTCTTTTAAAGTACCTTTAAAAACATAATTTTACGTTATGAAGTAAATTTGCTGTAGCAACGCTGGAACACCTGTTTGAACGACATGGTACTGTTATACTGTTTAACTTGGTAAATAATTTATGAATAAATTTTTAATTAACATAAATTTTTAATTAACCTAATGTTTTTACAGAAGACAAATAAAAGAAAAATCTAATAGTCAATAATGAATATATATGAAATAGCTTAAAGCAAACAAATTTGCTTCTTTGTTTTGCTTATCTGCAAGGTAGTAAATGGACCGTCTACGCTAATCCTACTACATCAAAGTAGTAAATGGACCGTCTACGCTAGCCCTGCTACATAGAGCGTTTGTTGTAAGTCCGCAGACATTCCGCTGTGCCACTGGGCGGTCCTACTACATAGAGCGTTTTACTTTTTCTTTGAAGTTATGCACAAAGCTACACAATAGGCTATCTGTGCTCTGCCCACCACGGATATCGAAACCCGGTTTGTAGCGTTGTAGGTCCACAGACATGCCGCTGTGCCACTGGGGAGGGGGATACTACATAAAGCGTTTTACTTTTTACGTCCGCCCATTTACGGTCTTATAACGATACCTCAATATGAATTTGCTCTAAAACAAAGTATTTCTTTATTGGTCTTAAAAGATATGACATTGTAACAGATATTTTACACACTAATATAACATGTTGCAATAATTTCTTGTTCAAAATAATGAATTTTGAAAAATGATGCGAAAATAGTATACGCAGTACTTTACCGTCCAAAGGATGCCGGCGCCTAAGGGCATGAAGGGAAGGTATGATATTATTTAAGGCTAGGAGGTTATGCGGCCTGTGATGTCGTGAGCGAGTAGTACCGAGGTGTGAAATGATTAGTATTCGCTTCCTAGTGGCACTCCTTGGTACTAATTGTCTATGACTCCATAGGCGACGTAATCTCACAACCTCAAAGAATATCCTCCCTCTTCTTCATATCCTCAGGTGCCTTCCATTCATTCCCTAGGCGTAGCATCCATAGTACTATGAATGAAAGGCACATGAGGATAGCAGATTACCGTACATTTATGGATGCTACGCCTGGGGCATGAATGAAAGGCACATGAGGATAGCAGATTACCGTACTATGGATGCTACGCCTAGGGCATGAATGAAAGGCACATGAGGATAGCAGATTACTCCCTAGGCGTAGCATCCATAGTATGGTAATCTGCTATCCTCAGGTGCCTTCCATTCATGCCCTAAGCGTAGAATCCATATTATGGTAATCTGCTGATATACTAAATGTGAACACCAAAGTATCAAAATATGGTATATTTTATGCGAAGCGAATATTCTATTGTAAACTATGCGTCACAGTTATATCGACGGTTTATTTTATAGTTAGCTTGCTAAAGAAGATTAATGATATTTTTTCTGTAAAAGATATGAACTTTACTTTTGTTTCTGATAAAATATTGTTATCTCAATACTTTTAAAATTATCTGAGTTTGCTATTTTCTTCTCTCAAATATGAGTAGTTTTGTGAATATAAAGCTACATTTTGATAATTCTTTTTTTTTATTTGGGTTTTTATTCATTTTAAATGTTCTACCCTTGATTATTAATCTTGTACATCATTTCCTCGGAGAGCCGGAAATGGCTTAATAGGGTAATTGTTTACGTAACCTTGAAGAAAAAAAAACACGTTTGAGGACAGTAGTACACTGTACTGATGACTGTAGATCCCACTTTTCGGTGAAACGACAGTAATTCCAATACGTAGAAGCGGGTTCTGATGACTATCTACATTACTTTCAGTATTAGGGAAGGCTATGTACAGGTAGCCTTTCTGTAGCAATGCTCAAAATTTACTAAAAAAAATAAAATAAAGAAACAAAAGTGGCTTAAGAATATGCTTTTCTATCGTTAAACCTCCTTGAGCTGACACAAATCGCAAAAGAGGGCCTTTGAGTTAGCCAATATATTGCTGTGACTTTGTAGATATGAACTGAAATAAAAATTAATTTTACAAAATGTCGTTTTAAAACTATTCTCAAAAAATACCAGTAATAAAATCAGTTGAGAGCGCCTATTATGTTAAGCAAAGTGGTATTGTTTCTAATAACACGTGGGTGTAACGAAAGTTAACTACATGTATTTATACATATATATACAGAGAGAGAGAGAGAGTGAGAGAGAAAACTTTCCTTGAATATCAAAAACCAATATAATTTTCTTTATTCTTATCTATAAGAATTACTACTCATAAAAGACCTACTTTATTTGTGACTATGTAATTGCTTAAATTATATTAATAATTTACTTACTTCAACTACTTTTACTCCAATTTCTGCTGTTAACTCAAGACGTTTATTAAATGAATGGCATACTTCTGGCATCGAAAAAATACCTTCTCTTTTTACGTATATAATAAATAAATATTAAATCTTTGAGGTTATAGAAAATGTTAGGAATGTAAAACATTTAATATTTAAATTTGTGTTACAACTGTCCTTAGGATAGGTATAACTTAATTTGTGTTACAACTGTCCTTAGGATAGGTATAACTTAATTTGTGTTACAACTGTCCTTAGGATAGGTATAACTTAATTTCTGCCAACCAAGGACCTAATAGTGAAGCAAATCCTTTTTTTAAGGATATAAGCTGTGTTCTACAAATCAAAACTTACTAATTATCCTAGGAACTTGGTCTTCGAATGATTAAACAAAAATGTTTGTTTAGATAAAATAATTTTATTGCATTATTGACATAGTTTTTACTGTGATTTTCTATTTCTGCTCTTAAGTCCTGTTCAATCTCCTTTTTTTTATGGAATACGCGTTTAACATTTTCTGAAGTTTCTATAGGTATCTTGTGTTTTTTGTTGTTGTTGTTTTTGGATTGCACTTTGCGCAACAACGGTAGTTATGCATTATATATATCATACAGCCTAGTATGATTAATAATAATGTATTTGTTCTTATCATATATTCTGCTGACTAACCTTACCCCATTTTTCTCTTCCACTCTCAGTACATACACACTCGTATATATATATATATATTTATATTATTGATTGCCTCCGAAAACCTACTACTTGGTTAGCTGAAACCTACTACATTAATTTTTGGAATATTAAGTAATTATGTGCAAATGACAAAAAATAAATTTAGACGCTTAGTTAAGCGAATTTCATACACAAATTCAAAGAAAAGTGAGGGAAGCGACATTTCACGTTTTTTATTTTACGCTTGTAGCCAGGTTATTGCGCTTGTTTTAACTGCCATTTAATTATATTCATTTATTATTACCTATCTTTGTTGCACCATATCCTTCACAGTTTTTATTTTACGCTTGTAGCCAGGTTATTGCGCTTGTTTTAACTGCCATTT